CTCTCTCTCTCTCTCTCTCTCTCTCTCTCTCTCTCTCTCTCTCTCTCTCTCTCAGCAGCACAGCTGTCCGACGCAGTGACGGCCCATCTTCACTTGACCTCAGACGGCATCTTTACCATTTTTCACACTGAATCTATTTCTGAACCTCTACTCTGTCCAGTGATCTGTTGCTTGTGCCCTGGTGGTCATGCTGGGTCCATGTTCAATTTTACGACAAATTTTAGTATCTAGTATGGTTAGTCTTCATGAGAACCAAATGAGGGATACACGCAAAGCATTCATAACAGTGCCTGGTATGTAATAAGAGCAGACCATGTTAATTCTGTGGGTTAGCACAGTGGAGACAATCATCCATACAATTTCTAGTCTTTGTATTCAAGAATCTTTGTGTTTTGAGATGTTCTGATGAGATGTTTGTATTCTAATTGCTGCTTTCTTATTTTTTGTTTGTTGGTGGGTTGGTTGGTTGGTTTTATTTTTCAAGACAGTGTCTTTCTGTGTAGCCTTGGCTATTCTAAAACTTGTTCTGTAGGCCAGGCTGGTCTTGAACTCACAGAGATCCACCTGCCTCTGCCTCCCAAGCGCTGGGATTAAAGGTGAGCGCCATCACTACCCAGCTGCTTTCTTCTTTAAAATAGTTTCCTTAGAAACCTAAAGCATGGCAATGCATATTGACAGTCCCAAACCCCGAGAAACTGAGGCAGGAAGATTGTGAGCTCCAGTTTATAATGCTGTTTTTCATGACTATTTGGCTCCCTCTCTTCCCTTAGCTTCGTGAATGTCATTGCTGGGTAACGTCTACTCTGTCCCCTCATGCATTGCCTCTCCTGATTGCTTCCAGGTGTATGCCCCTATCCACCACGTTTAACTTTTTCCCAGATTTTGGAAGATTCAATTCTTTTTGATAAATTATTTACTCTGTTTGTTGCTTGTATCCTCTGACCCATGGGGCAAGAACTTTTGATTTCAGTCATGGACAGTGCTTGTGAAATTACAAGTCCTCATCAGATAAATGCTAAATCTTGATTATAGCTTGTATAAAATACACTTTACGTTAAAACAAAAACCCTCCCTCTATTATGAGTGCTGAGACTTTCTATGTCTTTCTTTGTTTAGTTCAGGTGACAATTAACCTACCTGCCTACCAGCTCGTCTCAACCCTTGTCATGTGACACTCTTGCTGGGATTTTCCTTGATGACCACCATTGGCAGCTGCGTGGAAAGCAGGCGTTTATACAATTTTGGTCCCTCGTTCTCCTCCCCACATGGTGGAGGCTTTAAAGACTCAGATTCTCCTCTGTGGATATGAATTCCACATTTGTTTTCATCTTAATTCTGTCGACTAATGGGCTCCATGCTCACTGCCGATTCTGCAGCTACAGATTCTGCTTTTACTGCTCCGACGACCAAACTTCTCCCTGCAGAAGAGCTCATGAGAGCTGAATTTTCTGAAGCCTGACATATTAATTCCTGGACTAATCTTTCCTGGAGGACTTGGTAAAGTACTAAACGTTGCCTATGGGGAGTCTGGGGCCAGCCACCGACTCTGGAGCACAGTGCTCGTCTGGCTTTGCTGGGGCTCTGCAGCCACAGGTGTGGCATCCTGAGGTCTTTCCATACACTTGTTCAACCTTCACCAGATCTGGCAGCCTCTATACAGCGTGCTTTGAGACTTGCCCCCTGGTCGTGTTGAAGATGAAACTGGAACTCGCTTTCTCACTCCACCTCCGTTCTATGGTGTCAGAAGAGAAAGGAGGAGCTGTTGCAGTAAGGGGCTATTTCTGCTACTCAGTGACTTTGACCTTAACCATCTGTGAACACACGGAAGGACAGAGCAAAGCGGGGAGAGAACCCCATGTCCCCATCACTCACTACAGCAGTTACCAACATTTTGTCAAAATCAGTTTATCCAGACCCACCTCATTTGCTTTCTTCTAACCCCAGAGTTAGTCAGTCAGTCCCTTCCTCCCCTTTCTCTCCTTCCCAGACCCCCTCCTCTGTCTCTGTCTCTGTCTCGCTTGATATATAGAAAATACAGTCCCTTACAGGCAAAGCTGGCCTGGAACTTGCTATGTAGTCTGAACTCCTGATCCTCTTGCCCTCCTCTCTATGTCTTATGTGCTGGGATCATAAGCATGCAGCATCATGCCTCCTCCCCACCCAACATCTTAAAAGACACCGAACTATCAAAACCCTTCACCTGAAGAGAGTTCAGACAACATTTGCTGGAACACTGTAAAAACTAGAAGGCCTCTATGATTTTACAAATTATCCTCAGCATTTATGGTTTTTATTGGGCATCAACAGTACATGACTGAATGATTTCTGCGAGATGCAACAGAGCACGGTTGGCTGGCCAGCCACCTCTTTTTGTAGAGCTTTATCGGAACACAGTTGGGCTCGCTTATACCCACAGCTTTAATCTACGCGCTCTCTAAATAACGGAATCAATCCAAAAGCTGGGTACTGGTGAAATAGATGAGAAACTGCTACAGAAAGCGCAGGGTCTTAGAAATCTAAACGTCCTCGAAGAGAAGCCTAGGCGTCCCTTGCTATAACAAAGCTTCTGTGGTGTGGAGCTAACTGTCCACACCACTTCTAGAGTGACAGTGACAATCACAACTAAAAATGTGTTCAGAGACAGGGTTGCACTGATGGCCTCAAGCTCCTGGACATACGCCACCCTCTTCCTCAGCCTCCCGAATAGCTGTGACTTACAGCTACCACACTCGGGCTCTTATTTATTAAACAGTCCTGGCATATATACACGTCCTTATTTTTCTTTAAGCTGTTTCATGGTTACGGCCCAATGAGACTATCATAAATAAAAACGATTTTGTTCTAGCCATTTCTCCTTAAAATATGGTAGCAATACAGAGAAAAAACAAGCAAAGCAAAACAAGCAGAAAACTGATAATGGATGTTCAACACCAAAGAAGTACTACTTATCCATCCCACCCCTTGTATCCTGTGGTCCCCAAAATTAGAGATCTGGGTTGTATCTTTCTATTCTTCATATGTCACATGAAAATAGTAAGCTTTTTAGTTTTTTATTTTCTTCTAAAGTAGCAAGCATTTAATAAATATTTGGCTGACACTAACATTTAAGAAAACACATCAAGAAGTTTGTTGGGAGCAAGGTATGATGGGTGTGTAACCATAATACCAGCACCTAGGAGACTGAGACAGGACTTCAGGGCTAGCCTGGGCTACCTGAGACTCTGCCTCAAAACCAAAATAAAACAAGACAAAAAACCAGAAGCAAAACCCAAAACAAAACATGAGCTTGTTGGGGTGTGGAAGAGTGCAAACCCAGGACGTAAGCCTTTGGGTATGGGGCTCAGTTCTGCAAACAAAACAAAACAAAACAAAACCTCAGCAAATCAACCAACCAACCAAGCAAACAACAAACAACAAAAGGTTTTTGTTTTTTTTTAAAAAAAAAAAAAAAAGAGGGAACCTTCATCCCGACGATGGATGGCGATACTGATGGAGACCCACATTGGAGCACCGGACTGAGTCCCCCAAGGTCCAAATGAGGAGCAGGAGGAGGAAGAACATAAAAAAGGAAATCAGGACGGGAGGGGTCCGATCACCCACTGATACAAGGGGACTGATCTAATGAGAGTTCACCAAGGCCAGTTGGACTGGGACTGAACAAGCACATGATCCAACCAGATTCTCTGAATGTGGCCGGATTCTCTGAATGTGGCTGGCCCGGAGTTTTTCTGAAAAGCCATTGACAATGACACTGGAACTTCTTTCCTCTGCATATACTGGATTTTTGGGATCCAGTCTGTTTGGATGCTCACCTTCCTGGACCTGGAAGGAGGGGGGAGGAGCTTGAACTACCCACAGGGTGGGAGACCCTGACTGCTCTTGGGGATGGAGAGGGAGGAGGGGAGGGAGTGGGGGGAGTGGGAGGGTGTTGGGAGGAGGGGTGGAAATGGAGACTTTTGTATTTTAATAAACTTTGAGAAAAAAAATTAAAAAAAAATTTAAAAAAAAGAAATTTTAGCAACATACTGGGCGAACAGTGCATATTATTTATGTATTTACATTTCATAGGCAGAGCCCACAATCAAGGTGAATAGAGTCTTTAGAAGGCATAAAAATACCCAGAGTAGGGAGAAATCTCTAGGCAGTGTTAATGCCAGGTAAAGAGACACAGCCCATGCAAAGAAAACCTAAGTTTTTATTTTTAATAAAGGGAATAAAGGGCAGGCCACATTTTTGCTAAGTAACACAGGAGTGTCAAAGACGAGCAGAGGTTTGTAACTAAGATCGGGGACGCGTGCAGCTCACTGCCTCCTGTGCTGCAATGGGCTCCCTTTAGCCTTCGCCCGGAAGAACGACATCCAGCAGTATCAACTTAGACTCCCAAAGTAACGTTATTTCCCCAAGTCATAGGACTCAAACTAATTAAAAACTTTCAGTATTGAAAAGAGACACTTAATGTCCTCAGATCCAATTATTCAACCCAACTTAATGCTTACTTTCGGGTCCCTTATTGCTAGCATAAATTAACTTTCCCTTCATTTACCTTTCACAGTCAGAAGAGCAGCCCTGCCAATCAAGAAGACACTAAGAATCTAAACAACCTGTCGACAGCTCCAAATAGCCACAGCCAATTAGACAGGAAGGGGAAGGAGGGGAGAGAGGAAGTGGGGAGCAGCAGTAAGGTTAGTTTCATTCCCAACACTGCTCCATTTAAGAGTCTTTTTGAAATTTCTTTATGTTTTGGTTTTTCGAGACAGGGTTTCTCTGTAGCTTTGGAACCTGTCCTGGAACTCACTTTGGAGACCAGAATGGGCTGGAACTCACAGAGATCTGCCTGCCTCTGCCTCCCGAGTGCTGGGATTAAAGACATACCACTGCCCAGCCTGAGAGGACTGAGTCTTACTTCATTAGGAAACAAATACCTGATAACTACAGCAAAGCATGCTGCATTAGTGGTGCCAAAGAGCTTTCATCCAGAGCTGAAACTCGGTCAGCAAAAGCTTCCCTGTGCCACAAGTCTAGACCTCTCAGACTCTATGACCAGAGTATCCAACAGGCTGGGGAGCTCCGTGGACACGGTGCTTTGCCTCCTAAGACTTAACCCAAGTTTGAGCTTCAGAGTCAAAGTAAAAGCCCTAGAACCCATTTTTTTTCTTGTTGTTTTTGTTTGCTGTTTTGTTTTGAAGCCATGGTGCTTGGCCTCCAACAGAACGGGACATTTTTCCCTGACTCCGAAGCCCAGGAAACAAGAATGAAGCTGGGACTAAGGGATGGGGACTAGGGCAGTGGGTGCTGTCTTCCAGACAGACTATAAGCACTGTGATCAGGACCACTTGCTAGCATTCTTCTGTCTGCATTCTTCCCTCAGTAAGAAGAAGAGAGGGACGGATGGAGGGAGGAGAAAGGAGGGGCACAAAGGGAGGAGAGGGCCAGCTGGGGAAGGGAGGTTGGTGGGAGTAGAAGGAGCATGCGAAAGGGTAGGAAAGTAATCACAATGCACTATAAACAAGTATGCTAGTACATTTTTATAAACACATCTTAAAGCCAGGCATGGTGAAATGTGCTTGTAATTCCAGTGCCGGGGGAGACACAGGAAGAACCTGGGGACCTGCAGACATCCACACTGTTAAATTCCAGGTGGGGAGTGAGCCTGTCTCAATAATAATAATAAAAAAAAAAGGTAGATGGTGCCTGAAAAACCTTGGGTGACACCCAAGGTTGTCCTGTCACATGTGCACATGCGTGCGTGTGTGTGTGCGCGCACACACACACACACACACACACACACACACACACAAGCACACTCCAGAGTTTATGGGCACGCTATAATTAACAGAGTAAAACTATTCCGGTGGCTTCCAGCAAAGCAACAATGTCCTCGATCTGGAGCTGTTTTTTTCCATGTGTCTCTGCCGACATAATAAAACTACTGAAGCATGGCACCGGCAACAGACTTACTACTTTCAATCAAAGCACCAACCCCAGCACTCTGTTCTCAGAGCTTGAGAGCCGACAGCGGTGGCAACACTGGAGCGAGAAGACTAGGACCCAGAATCTCAATGCCCAACGCGACCTTTGCTGACTAGTTCACAAGGCTGATTTCACTCAGGCTGAGTACCAACATTTGAATGACACGCTGTATTTGCACATCAATGGTCTACGGAAACAGAAACTCGCGGTCCTTCATCTCCTTAAGGGATCTGCCTCTTACTGGGAGCGACGGGAAGTACAGTGTATTTTTCAAAGCACAAGGGTCTGCATCCTGAAATCTATGTAAGGTAAACTCACACCATGTGAAAGGCAGAGAGTCCAGGGTCTGCAGAAATATCTCTTCAGACAGCAACAAAAACAAATAAGTTCGCTGAACTGCATGACATATTTTGCTCTTCCGATAATGAGGAGACGACGTGTCTGATGCAGTTTAAGGTGGTGCTATTCATATTTATGACGTAAAATATACCTTACGCTTTAGGATCAGCATACTCATCCTTTAGTTATTTAAAATGATTATTATACTTTATTCCACATGGACTAATGTTTCTCCCACTAGATCATTGTGACTTTATAGAAGTCATGGTTCAACGTATATGCCTTTAATTTCCAAGGCAACTTCACACCTCTAAAACACGACTCCAGCAAGGCCTTCTGCGAACTCTTTCAACATCAATTTTCTAAGTAAGAGATTAATATCATGTGAAGTGACTTAAAAATACTTCTTCACGGAGGCTGGGGAGATGGGGCAGCAGTTAAGAGTGCTCACTGCTCTTTTAGAGGACCGAGGTTTGGTTCTCAGCATCCACACCAGGTGGCTCCCAACCACAGGGAACTCCAGCTCCGGGGGACCCAGTGCCCTCCTCAGGCTCTTGCATACAAGTGGTGTATATAACTCACAAGGAACCACACACACACACACACACACACACACACACACACACACAGGAAAATATTAAATCTTTAAAAAAAAAAAAAGCCTAAGCTGGGACCAGAACGGTTATTCAAGCCAATGTTTCAGCACTTGGGAGGTAGAGGCAGGAGAATCTAGAATTCAAAGCGAGTTTTGACTATGTAGTGAGCAGGAGGGCAGTCAGAGCTACACGAGACCATGTCTCAAACAAACGAAAAAGGGTAAAGAGCTCTTGTTTTTGTTTTGAACAGCAATTGTAGGTTTCTCTGTAGCTAAGGGCGACTTTGAATTTCCTGTCCTCCACCTTCGCCTCGCAACACTGAGTCTAAGACACGCCTCACCACCCTTGTCATTTGTGGTACTGACACAGAAGCCA